GGTCACTGATGCGGCCGAGAACGGCACAACTCCCGGCACATCATTTTCAGATCACCGCAGACTTTCGCTAATCAGGTTAAAAGTAATATATAAGTCACTTAGACAACCTAAAAATGTCATTGTTTGGCTTTTTCAGTGTTTTATTTGTTCGTGAGTAAATCGGTTTGGCTGAGATTAAAGTTATCAGATTAGATAAAATAAAACTATGAATCCCCCGGGTGGGTTCGTCCTTGGTTTTTACACAACTGAATAAACGTCAAACAGAAAACTTATTAAACAGACGTGTGAGATGGTCAACAATTTACACCAGTGTCCTGTTATATTTTAGATAGCAAGGAGCAGACGGCCGAGTTTATTAAACTCCACCGAGACAGCAGTGACGCTAATCAGAAGGCTAGACCGTCCAATTTCACGGCCGTTTACTTCCGGCCTACCCGACCTTCTGAGGACCCGGCCCACGTAGACCGCGAAGGCCGGGTGCTCAGGAGGAAGCAGCCCATGAATTTGGACACGACCACAGTCTTTCTCACTCAACAGTTACACTCGTCACCCAGACTAACACCACTCCACATGTTCACAACTAGGAGGCGCTAAAAGACCACATACAGTGAGATTATCAATAAATGTCTGCTGTGTCTGACAGTGACTTGAGTTTTTACTAACTGGCTACATGAGCAGGATTAGCTGCAGTGCTATCTTTGTAAAAGAGACTCAGCATTAGAACCAAACAGAAACATTTCTACTTTTTCTGCAGCACCAGCTGGATGCATGGAGCCTAAACTCCAGTGACAATGAGACACATACAGTGTGACTGCTGTGACTTTACAGCTGGGCCTCATTCACTGACATTAGTCAGATATGACTGACTCTAGGGTTGCAAAATTCCCGGAATTTTCAAAGATGGAAACTTTCCATGGGAATAAACGGGAATTAACGGGAATTTATGGGAATAAACTGGGAATTTTCAAAATTGAAGGTTGGCGCTTCTTAGGGAACTTAAATATAGTTGAGCAAAGTATATTTTAGCATAATATTGACAAAAACAAACAAATGCAATTCAAATACACTTGAATATCCATGCCATTCCTTAATCACATGTACAGAGCACATGCTTGCTGCATGGCTATTGAGACCACCTACTGGCACTGTGCATGCCTCCATCACATGTACACATGGACCACACTTTTGAGCCTGAAGGACAAAGAGTATTGAAGGCACACATTTGAGCCTGTGGACTTAACAAGTGAGGTAAGTTTTGATGATATTATGGGAAAATATATTCATTAAATGTTTAAATTGTGAATATCACATAAAATGTATTAATCCTATAGATAGCAATCTGATAAGATGCTAAATAAAATGCTAGCATCTGTTAGATGCTAAATAAGCCATAGCTAGTATAACATAAAGAAGATGCTAGCTTCCTCATTTGGCTGTTTTGTTTTGAAGATCATTCCAGTTGTTTAGCTAGCCTTACTATTTATATCTGTTTATTATCATATTGCAATTGTATTATTACGATCTCTTGCATTGCATTAGCATTTTTACAAGCTCTTGTTTTATTTTACAGAAAAATGCCACATGCGCTATCTGATGTGTGGAGACATTTTACACCAGCTAATGTGCAAGGGAAACCTGTATATATGTGTAAATATTGTGATAAGACGTACGTGAAGAATGCCACAAAAATGCAGCAGCACATTGCAAAGTGCAAAAAAATTCCTCAAGGCCCAACACATGCAGCAGCCAGGAGTTCCACTCAAGGGGAAAATGAATCTGTTTCAGCTGTATCAGAGTCAGATACCCACTCATCAGCTCCTGGTCCCTCTGGCATCGGAGGATTCTTTGATTTTATGGATGACACTAGCCAGAAAAACGCAGATGAGTGTTTCGCTCGTGCAATCTATGCAACTGGCTCACCCCTGATGCTGACATCCAATGTGTACTGGAAGAGATTTTTGAATGTTCTCCGACCAGCATACATTCCCCCAACCAGACATGCATTGTCTACTCATCTACTGGAGGAAGAGTTCAGTCGAGTTCAAGCAAAGGTGAAACAGACCATTGACCAAGCTGACTGTATTTCAGTCATCACTGATGGATGGTCCAATATCAGGGGACAAGGAATTATTAACTACATAATCACCACTCCTCAGCCTGTGTTCTACAAGAGTGTAGACACAAAGGAAAACGGACACACAGGCCAATACATTGCAGATGAGCTAAAAGTGATCATCAATGACCTTGGACCAGATAAAGTTTTTGCACTGGTCACTGACAACGCAGCCAACATGAAGGTTGCCTGGGCACATGTGGAGGAGACCTACCCACATATAACTACTATTGGCTGTGCAGCCCATACACTAAATCTTCTCCTAAAAGACATAATGGCACTAAAAACAATGGACACTCTGAATAAGAGAGTGAAGCAAGTTCTGAAATATGTTAAAGGCAAACAAGTAACTTCCGCTACATTTCTGTCAAAGCAAAAGGAAAAGAACAAGAGTACTACACTGAAGCTTCCCAGCATAACGCGATGGGGTGGTGTTGTTATCATGTTTGACAGCCTTCTGGAGGGAAAGGAGTCTCTGCAAGAGATGGCCATATCCCAGTCTGTAGGCATCGACAGTGACATCAAGAAGGTCATCTTGGATGATGTGTTCTGGGAAAGAGTATCTAGCAGCAGGAAAATCCTCAAACCTATTGCAGCAGCAATAGCGAAGATAGAGGGGGATGGTGCCATCTTGTCAGATGTCCAGTGCCTTTTTGCAGAACTCAAAGAAGAAATCCAGACAATTCTGCCCACTTCCCTACTACTGAAAGCAGAGGAAACGGCTGTGGTCAAGTCATTGGAACAGCAGAGGGAGCATGCACTGGCTTCATGCAGCCAGTGCATGCAACAGCATACATGCTGGACCCCAAATATGACAAGGGCATACTTTCTGGGGAAGAGATCAACGGTGCCTATGCGGTCATTACAGCCATGTCTGACCACCTGGGTCTCGATAAAGGTAAAGTTCTAGGCAGTTTGGCAAAGTATCGAACAAAGCAAGGCCTTTGGAAAGGGATGGAATATGGCAGTCATGCCAGCACATATCTGCAGCCACCTGGTGGAAGGGACTATGTGAATCTGAGGCCCTTGCACCTGTAGCCTCCATCCTCCTCCAAATCCCACCATCATCAGCCGCCTCCGAGCGCAACTGGTCACTGTTTGGCAACACCCACACAAAGGTTCGCAACAGGCTCACAAATGTGAGAGTGGAAAAGCTGGTCGGCATTCGGGCAAACCTACGGCTCTTTGAGCCTGACACAGAGCCATCCTCAACAAGCTGGAAAGTGACACTGAAGAGGAAGACTCAGAGTTGGATGCTGAGGAAGTGGACATGTTGTTGGATGATGATGAGGTCCAGGAAGAGTCTATTGACTGAGCAAAAATGAGAAAGAGGATTGCTGAAGAAGATTTGCATGTTTAATGGGACGTTTTGGAGGATAAGTGGCATTTTTCATTTAACCTTTTGAGTGGGACTTTGTGGGGATTTTTGGACAGGGGGCATTTTTGAATGAGCGGGGTTAGGGGATGGTAATATTGAACTCAACATTTCTGTTTTTATTCATCCATGAAACCAGTTATTGAAACGTGTTCTATTCTACTGTACTTACAAATAAATCTGTTGAAATATCTGTTGAAAACATTTTGCATGGAGGTTTTCTTATGATTTCTGTTTATATTTATGCTTGGAAATAATATATTCCCAGTTAGTTCTCCTAAATTCCCATTAATTTCCATAATTCCCATTATTTCCATGGAAAGTTTCCAATATGGAATATTTCCAAAATTCCCAAGCTTAACTTACCATGGAAATTTACCAGAAACTTTTTGGAAATTTACCGGAAATTTTCCACCCCTTTGCAACCCTAACTGACTCTATATCACACTTAAAGCTTCCTGTAAATGAAAGAATCAGTGAAAACGAGGCACTTCAGTTGATTTTAAACAAAAACTCTGAACATAACCTGATCCAGACCAGGTTATTGGTTCAGCATCAGTAACCATGGTGATGTAGCCAGGTAAACACAGAGACAGACAATTTATGCTCACAATCACACATCTCCAGTTAACCTTGCATGCATGTTCTTGGACTGTGGGAGGAAGAGTACCTGAAGACAACCCACATAGACCACACTATCTCCCCTATTTACAGAATTATAATCTAATTAGATGATAAAGTAATAAATTATTTGGTATTTTAATAAAAATACATTTTAGCAATAGTTTATAAGTCAACAATTATAGTTTTAAAAAAGTGACAAATCAAACAGTCAATAAATCTTCTACAGCTGAAACTAATGTAGACAATGTCGGGGGAGGAAGTAAAAGTAAAAACCAGAGACGATAACTACCAAAATAAAACGGGAAGTGAATAACATTCAAGCTCACTTTAAGCTCAACAGTCAAATTCAGTTTTATATTAATCTATTGTTTTGAATTTTTGTTTACATTTTATGTTTAAGTGAGGCAATGAGTCATATCACTATGACCAAATATATATTTCATCTTTTCAGTCAGAAATAATCAATTGATCATATTTTTATTACTAAAATTTTCTGAAAATCAAATTCTGATATCTGAACAAACAGCTCTGTAAAAACCTTGAGAATACAGGAATCGAACTAGAAGGTTTGGTGGATGAAGCACTGCTAAAATAAAGAATTTGGACTCAGAGGAGCAGATGGGACATTTCATTGCAAATGAAAGACAGAAAGTGAACAAATATCACTAAAAACCCCAGACGCTAATTTCTACATTAAGACTTTTTTCAAATCAATTGACTGTTTATGCAGTAATAGAAATCAGGTTTAACATGATCATCGGTGGAACATTTTAAATCCTGACCTGAGAGTTTCCATTTTACAGCGTGGACTCTTCACTCCAGCAGACAGAAACTTCACTCCTGAATCCTGCAGGTCAGAGTTACTCAGGTCCAGCTGTCTCAGACTGGAGGACTGGGAGCTGAGAGCTGAGGACAGCGCTTCATAGCCTCTCTCTGAGAGCTTACAGTGACTCAGTCTGAAAAATGACACATAAACATTAAACACTGTTATTAAATTGCAATGAGGGTGCACTAAAGAGTTTTTAGATTTTTTGCAATAAATCCTGTTTATTGCAACACTAGGGCTGCACAATTAATCGTTAGAAAATCGCGATCTCGATTCATACTTGTGTGCGATCTCATTTCCAAATGACAACGATTTAAAAAAAAAAAAAAAAAAACGACGATTGTACCGCATTTTGATCCGGGACGTAATCTGCATGAAAACAAGCGCTCACTCTTCCTGCTCAACAAATGATAAGGGCGGAGCCTTATACCACGTGATACAGAAGCTGCCGTGTGATGCTAAAATTAGCAGGAAAAAACAACGGAGAGCACGTCAGGGATGACGAGAAAGTGACAGGAGAAAATCCGTCCCGGTCAACCACCCAAACACCAATAACGGGAACCTTATACAGCGCTTCCCTATACCCGTCGAACTCGCGCAGGCACAAAGAAACTACGGAGGCTATTACTTATCACCTGACCAAAGATATGGCTCCATCAACACTGTGCAAAACGAGGGATTTAGGAAAATGATCAACACCCTAGACAAACACTACACAGTGCCGTCCCACAACTATTTTTCTATTGTTGCACTACCTGCTCTGTACACGCAGCGTCGAGCAACGGTGGAGACAGAATTTCAAGCAGTACAACATTTTGTTGTTTTTATGTTTATTTATTGTTTTTATGTTCAGTCTCAACTGTTATGAAGTTGATGTGCAGTTAATAAGTGCAATAAATATTTATACTGGAAAAGAGAATCGTGAGAGAATCGTGATCTCAATTCTAAGCCAAAAAATCGTGATTCTCATTTTATGCAAAATCATGCAGCCCTAGTCAACACTAAGAGATGACACTAACATAAAACTATTACAGAAGTTTAACTGACTTTTTTCCCCATTTAGTGGCTTCTTATTGGTTAATTCTGTCAATTCATGAAAAGCACAACATAACTTGATCTCACCTCAGAGTATTCAGTTTACAGTGTGGACTTCTCAGTCCTGCAGAAAGAAACTCCACTGCTGGATCCTGCAGGTTGTTGTTACTTAAGTCCAGCTCTCTCAGTGTAGAAGACTGGGAGCTGAGAACTGAGGACAGAGCTTCATACCCTCTTTCAGAGAGATCAGGGACACTCAGCCTAAAAAACAAAAACAAAATAAAGACATAATCTGAAAAATTGTCATTTGATAACAAACTGTTTGTGATTAATTTAAATCACTTCTTGTGTTGAACCTTTGAAAGAAAGACAAATGTCAGTGTGCATTACTATTTATGGCTAAAAAACGTTTTAGTTTAAAAATGTTCCCTGTGTAAATATAAAGACCTGGAACTTGTTCATTAAATGCTAAACAAAAACAAGTGATGACTCATTCTGTGAACAGGTGACAGTAGGCTGCACGATTTTGCATAAAATGAGAATCACGATTTTTTGGCTTAGAATTGAGATCACGATTCTCTCACGATTTTCTTTTCCAGTATAAATATTATTGCTAGGGATGGGTACCGGTGTCCGGTGCCATGATGGCACCGGTTCTGACATAAACGCTAGTAACCAGACCGAAAAGCAGCGCACATTTCGGTGCTTTATTTCGGTGCTTTTTTTCCTGAGCTGTGATACACTTCTAGCCAATCATTTTACGTTTCCGAGGATAGTAGGCGGGGCCGGGTACGTACGTTCTGTTAGAGCAGAGCTACAGATTAAAAATGTCCAAGGCGAAGCGGTCAAAGTCTGGCTGTACTTCACAGCAAAAGATACAAACTCAGCAGCAACAAGTGCTTTAAGCTGATACTGTGATACTGTCAAAGGAGGTAACACCTCGAATCTGATGAAACACCTGGCGACGCATAGCGTTTTTTTAAAAGCCCAGAAATGCACCGTATTTGATAGCTTGCTGCGAGACCTCACACCGAGCGCATCTACTGCGGGTGTGGTGCCTGTTATCGACCCGGAGTTAGAACATCCCCCAAAAACCCGAAGAGGAGAGTCCTGGCCCCTAGCCCTGCCAGTGTAGCAGAAATGATGAGGATGATGATGCAGCAGCAGCCGTTCTTCTCTGCGTGAGTAGCTTAATGTTCGTGTGTAATTTACGTTGAGTAGGCTAACCACGTTATTACATTAATGCATGTAAGGTGAACTAGCAAACATCATCATAGCTACATGCGGCTGTCTTCTTGTTTGATGGCAGATACTCCCTTCACCCTGGCCAAAAAGGCTAAAATGACCAAAGAAAAAGTGGAAAACAGTTAAACATGAGAGGTTTTGGACAAAGTTTGTGTTTTTTCCATTGTTTAAGCACTGCTTCCAGCCAAGAGTGATGCCATATATGCCCCATAGCTGCAGGAAAGGCACACATTGTTATCTTTTTACAAAAAAACAGCTGAGCATGAGAGGTTTTGGACAAAGTTTGTGTTCTCCATTCTTTAAGCACCGTTTGAGCACCGGCACCGTTTCAAAAGTACCGGTTTGGCACCGGTATCGGATAAAACCTAAACCTAACCCTATTTATTGCACTTATTAACTGCACATCAACTTCGTAACAGTTGAGACTGAACATAAAAACAATAAATAAACATAAAAACAACAAAATGTTGTACTGCTTGAAATTCCGTCTCCACCGTTGCTCGACGCTGCGTGTACAGAGCAGGTAGTGCAACAATAGAAAAATAGTTGCGGGACGGCACTGTGTAGGTTTGTCTAGGGTGTTGATCGTTTTCCTAAATCCCTCGTTTTGCACAGTGTTGATGGGAGCCATATCTTTGGTCAGGTGATAAGTGATAGCCTCCGTAGTTTCTTTGTGCCTGCGCGAGTTCGACGGGTATAGGGAAGCGCTGTATAAGGTTCCCGTTATTGATGTTTGGGTGGTTGACTGGGACGGATTTTCTCCTGTCACTTTCTCGTCATCCCTGACGTGCTCTCCGTTGTTTTTCCTGCTAATTTTAGCATCACACGGCACAGCTTCTGTATCACGTGGTATAAGGCTCCGCCCTTGTCATTTGTTGAGCAGGAAGAGTGAGCGCTTGTTTTCATGCAGATTACATCCCGGATCAAAATGCGGTACAATCGTCGTTTTTTTTTTTTTTTTAATCGTTGTCATTTGGAAATGAGATCGCACACAAGTATGAATCGAGATCGCGTTTTTCTAATGATTAATCGTGCAGCCCTAGGTGATAGGCAAGACTGTAAGTATGTAGCAATGAGAGGGAAGGCTGGCTCATATCCTGGTGAGTGAGGGTTAGTTACTCTAGGAAAAGGTCAAGGTATGATTGAGAGATTCTGGAGACTGAACCAGTGAAATGGAAATTCGTTCAATTAAAGCAGATATAGTGATTAGTCCTTCCATCAGTCGTCCACAAAGCAGTGAGATAAAGTCTCAAGTCTCATTCTGCACAGTGTAAATGTCAGTGTCCTCCGGGTCCTCACTGATCATTGCATTCTGTCACAAATTGTCATGGTTCACAGACTGTGTACAGTCGGAAATCAAAGTGCACGACATTGGAGAGATTGAAAAACAATCAAGCATGCAGATCTAACAACAGGAAACCAGAAGAAACACGAGGAATATAATTGATTCAGCAGCTGCAGATCCTTGGAGCTGTACTGGTGAGGCAGATTGTAACATATAGAAGTGAACTCATCTTCAGCTGAGCAGTGCACTGATGCAGAGCAATAAGACCAGAGGAGCAATGAGGGAGTTGATCACCTACGGCTCCATCACAGTCTTTGAACGTCTTCAGTCAGTACAGAATCATGCTGCGAGCTTTAACCAGCACATTAGACTGGACATTACTCCAGTTTAATCTCTTCACACTGGTAACCAGTTCATTTTAGGCGTTATTAAAGTTTAGTCCTACTTTTAGTCCCAGTTTATGTTTCTGACTTTCTACAATCCTACAGCTCTTCTCACATCTGAGATTTCCAGTCAAAGGCTTTTACTGGTCCCACTAACTCATTTATTCAGACTCTAGTATTCAGAGTGGCCTTTAACTAGTTTTAGGCTGTATGATGTTCAGTGTTTGCTGTTAATGTTTTATCTTCTGTGTTTTTATTGCCTGTTTCTATTGTAAAGCACTTTGTGGTTTTGACCTGTGAAAGCTGCTGTTTAAATAAAGTTACTTACAGGATGATTCTGGACGTGACTTTGATAAAAGCTGACACCCAGATATGTTTAAGACACTCTGACATTTACTGCTGCCATCAAACATTAACTATAATATACTGTATTTAGTGCTGATGATCATGTAAAAAAATATGTTTAAGTTTTTAAGGGTCCATCACACATGATACTGTTTATGTTATAAATAAGCCTGATCACATGTTTACTCACAGAGCTTTGTTGGAGGCTTTGATCACTGGCAGCAGCCTCAGCAGAGCCTCCTCTGAAGCAGAGTATTTCTGCAGGTCAAACACATCCAGATCTTCTTCTGATGACAGTAAGATGAAGACCAGAGCTGACCACTGAGCAGGAGACAGTTATCTGTGGAGAGACGTCCTGATCTCAGGGACTGTTGGATCTCCTCCACTAGAGAACGATCATTCAGTTCATTCAGACAGTGGATCAGATTGATGCTTTTCTCTGCAGACAGATTCTCACTGAGCTTCTCCTTGATGTACTGGACTGTTTCCTGATTGGTCTGTGAGCTACTTCCTGTCTGTGTCAGCAGACCCCGTAGGAGAGTCTGATTGGCCTGCAGTGAAAGACCCAGGAGGAAGCGGAGGAACAAGTCCAGTGTCCATTTGGACTCTCTAAGGCCTTGTCCACAGCACTCTGGTGGAGAGATTGAAGTTTTAGTTTGTTAAATAGTTTAGACCATGTAAGGTTTGTTGTTCTTGCATCAGATTGAGTCCAGAGTTGATGAAGGTCAGATGGACATGAAGAGCAGCCAGAAACTCCTGAACACTCAGATGGATAAGCAGAACACCTTGTCCTGGTACAGTCCTCTCTCCTCTTTAAAGATCTGTGTGAACACTCCTGAGTACACTGAGGCTGCTCTGATATCGATGCCACACTCTGTCAGGTCTGATTCATAGAAGATCAGGTTTCCTTTCTGCAGCTGATCAAAAGCCAGTTTCCCAGAGACTCCATCATCTTCCTGCTCTCTGGACTCCAGTGTGGATCTGTCTCAGCTCCTCCATCATACTTGACCTTCTTCACTTTGGCCTGAACCACCAGGAAGTGGATGTACATCTCAGTCAGGGTCTTGGGCAGCTGTCCTCCCTTCTGGTTTCCAGCACATCCTCCAGAACTGTAGCAGTGATCCAGCAGAAGACTGGGATGTGGCACATGATGTGGAGGCTTCGTGATGTCTTGATGTGGAGATGATCCTGCTGGCCTGCTCCTATCTCTGAATCTCTCCTTAAGTACTCCTCCTTCTGTGGGTCAGTGAACCCTCTGACCTCTGTCACCATGTCAACACAATCAGGAGGGATCTGATTGGCTGCTGCTGGTCGTGTGGTTATCCAGAGGTGAGCAGAGGGAAGCAGGTTCCCCTGATGAGGTTTATCAGCAACTCATCCACTGAGGTGGACCTTCTAGGGTCAGTTAGGATTGTAGTTTTGTGGAAGTCCAGAGGAAGGCGACACTCATCCAGACCATCAAAGATGAACACAACCTGGGAGTCTTCAAAGCTGCAGATTCCTGCTTCTTTGGTTTCAGTAAAGAAGTGATGAACAAGTCCCACCAAGCTGAACTTTTCCTCTTTCAGCACATTCAGCTCTCTGAAAGTGAATGGAAATATGAACTGGATGTCCTGGTTGGCTTTGTCTTCAGCCCAGTCCAGGCTGTATTTCTGTGTTAAGACTGTTTCCCAATGCCAGCCACTCCCTTTGTCAGCACTGTTCTGATTGGTTCGTCTCTTCCAGGTGAGGCTTTAAAGATGTCTTCTTGTCTGATGGTTGTTTCTGGTCTGTCTGGTTTCCTGGATGCTGTTTCAATCTGTCTGACCTCATGTTCATCATTGACCTCTGCAGTCCCTCCCTCTGTGATGTAGAGCTCTGTGTAGATCTGATTCAGGAGGGTTGGGTTTCCTGCTTTAGCGATGCCTCAAACACACACTGGAACTTCTTCTTCAGGGTGGATTTAAGGTTACGATGACAAACAGCAGCTGGAAATTCTGAATAATAATAATAAAAATACAACTTCAACAATCATATTTACAAATCGCTGACGACATTTTCTGACCCACTGAGAAATGACTGAACACACTGGTGTCATGAGTGTCTCATTTATCTAACAGCTTAAAACCTTAAGTAAGAAATCCTCTTACGTCTCTGCAGACGGTCAGCCAGCTCCTCCTGCTTCATTCTCCTCAGGAAGTCCACTGTGATCTTCACAAATGCCTCTCTGCTGCTCCTCTGCTCATCATCCTCCCTCTGAAACTCCAAGCACTGGGGCTTATTTGGATTCAGAGCCTTCTGGATCTTCTTCAGCTCGTTCTTCACAAACGTGATGATGTTGTCCTCCAGCAGCTGGAACAGAATATTTATGAATGACCCACCACTCTGAACTTCAGTCCACACAACATCCACTTCTTTACAATCAAGAAGCAGATCATCCACGATCTCCTCACCAATTATAAGTTTGACTTTATCTGATTAACTGAGAATTTCTCCACAACTCCACGGTCCCAAAACGCTGATTCTGTTCATATGATGCAGCGATTTCAGTGGGAGAAACATTTCACTGGTGTTCAGAGCTGAACTACCAACAGGTTGATGATCGAAGCCAGAAACTTGGCGATGTATAGGTGACAGAGTTGATCATACAGACAGCTGGTCTTAAAGGTTCACTCTGTTTACACATACAGATCAGTATTTAAGGTTTGACTCTCATCATCCACTGGAGCACAAACTGGGCGTCATCAGGACGCTACAACACAGAGCGAACGCCATCCCCACAGACACAGCAGCCAGGGAGCAGAAGAACATCACATCAAGAAGGTCCTGAGGAAATGTGAACCAGCTGACCAAACACATCTGCTGCAGGATGTTAACATAGCAGCACACTGATGATCCACTCACTGTGAACAACACATTTGGACCTGATTTGCTGCTCTGGTTTACACGTGTGTGTAACTCTTAGAGCTGATTGGCTGCTTTTTATGGGGCTGGGTCTTTGGAAAGTGAGCAAACCACAGTTTTAGTAACACACCCTGAACTGCACACTTTAACAAACAACATGAGATTTTAACTGTAATGTAAAAATCCTGTGATTCACTGTTATTAAGCACAAAACACATCTATGGCCCCGTTTCCATTAGTAGCTGCTCAGATCGACTCGCCACAGGTCGCCACGACTGGACTGGATCCACTGGTTCCATTACCCACCTAATTGGTCGTCTGAATACAGCAGAGTGTTGACTCACATCATTAGTAAGTGCTAATGCTGCTAATTTCCATCATATTTGTCATTTATTTCTCAGAGTTATTGAAGAAACAGTTATTCAGCTTCATTCCCACTGATCTCGACTACAAACTGTTTCACTTTGGTTTCTGTTTAAAGCCTCGATGTTTAAAACGTTTCCCTGTGATCACATTTGCACCGTCTGATTTCAAAGTTTGTTTCTTTTGGTCATTTAGTCCACAGAGTCCTTGGTGTTCTGAAAGGGACCTATAAACAAATGTATTAATATTAATAATAAAGTAGTTGTTGTACATGTACAGACCATAAACATGGAGTCCAGCTGTGTTTGATGCTGCTGGGCAGACTGACCACTGGGACCCTCTGAGCTCTGCTGCTCCACTCTGTGGATGAACCATGGACACACACATGAAGCCACTTTCATTATTAAAATGTGAATTTAGCCTCTAAAAGCTGTGTTCAGTCAGTGTTGCTGCTTCCCTGTGTCTGACCTCACGTATGTGCTTCTGAAAGAACTGTTAAAAATCCCGTAAACACTTTTTAACCTGTGAAAAAACCTTTTCAGAACAGTTTAAGCTGTTATATGTTGAACTCTTGGCTGACATCATATTAAATGCTGTGGACTCAGAATATGATGTCACTCAAGTTTACATGTGTGTGAAGGCAGACGAGTCAGTACTTTGGTGATACAGTGTAAAGCTGCACTGATTTCCATGAACAGCACTGTGGTTCAGTGTTGTCCTGATGGAGTAACAGCAGCCAGTATGATCCAGGCTTTAGCTGCTGGGTCTCTGTGTGACCTCTCAGACTGTTTAACAGATCAGACACAAAGAGCATCAGAGCTGTTCTTTAAAGACAAACATGAACCCACTCAGGTCACACTTTCCCCACAGATATGAGCATCACTGTCCTCAAACAGCAAATGACCAAGTCGAACATTTGGATCTTTTCTCTTTCATTGTTTTCTTTTTAATGAATCTTTGTAACAATCTGAGGATGTTTCAGGTCATATTTATCCAGGAAACACAAACATGTAAAGGAGTCATCACAGCTCTCTGACCTCGTTGCTCCAGGTTCACCACTGAAGACTGGATTTTGATCTTTGGACCGGTCACTCCTCACAGACGGACAGCTGGACCCTGCAGACTGTGACCTCTGACCTCTGCAGACACAAACATGATTGAAGCA